TCTCTGCTCCAACAACTTAAATTTCTCTTCCAGCTTATTTTTTTTCTTCTTCCACCTCTATTAGTTTCTCCTTCAACTCTGCAATTTTTCGTTTATATCCTTGTTCATATTCTCACTGTTTTTTAGTCAAATCATGAAGATACTGCAAAGATCATTGGTAGAATTTCTGCTCACAGGGTTCATCAAGCCATACCTCAAAATTGCAAATATTTCCGTTGTTGCCTCCAAACCTGTTCACACACATCCAGTATTTGCACCCAACTTGACCATCATCCCAACAGTCCGCAATCATACAACGTTTGCCACATTGGCACATTGTTACATACATGCGTTCAGACATTTGTTAAAGCGAGAAAAAAACCCTGCTTTTACGGAAAGTTTTGCTATTTGTTATGGTTAAGCGCAGAAAATAACTAGAATGCACCCGTTATTTATAGGCAAGGCAACACACATAACGTAGTATTTAACCGCGCTATACATATTCACACAAAATATAGTATTTAACCGCGCTATGCTTCGCGTGTTAAAGATTATTTCTGATACAAAACAGCTTTTTCGCAGTCGGGCAGCTTTTCAGATCGACAAGACAACACACATAACGTAGTATTTAACCGCGCTATATATATTCACACAAAACGTAGTATTTAACCGCGCTATGCTTCGCGTGTTAAAGATTCTTTCTGATACAAAACAATTTTTTTGCAGTCGGGCAGCTTTTCAGATCGACAAGACAACACACATAACGTAGTATTTAACCCCGCTATATGTATACACTTATTTATCAAACATCTTCCTCCTCTGACAGTGTAGTTTTCTAATAATTTTAGAGTGAAACTCGAAAGTGAACGTCAAAATTTTCCGTTTTTTAATCTAATACTATTTTTTATTATAAGAACGGGAGAGAAAAATTCATTAATTTACTCAACTGAAAAATATTAAATATCAATAAGATTTAACAACAATGGAAACATAATTTTATTTGATACATCTTGCAACATAAACAAGTACATACACTTATTACAAAAAATATTACGAAAACAAAACACTACGTGTATCCTTGATAGTTGGGCACATTAGATGAACTTGCACCAGGAGCTGGATTACCACCGCCAACCAAACCAGCTGAAGGACATTTACGACGGGCGTGTCCTGTTTGCGAGCATATGCCACATTTACGTGCATGAACGGTATTACCAACATCCATTTGGTTCCGTATACACGTTCTCTTTTGCACTTGTAGCTTAAGCAAATAGTCCTTGTTATACAGCATTTTAAATGATTCCGGTGGCCAATAATGCTCAGCACCCACTGGCTGCAACTGCCCACTATATGTGTTCAAGTATGCAGCAACACTGTATTGCCTATCAACATAGTTGATTGCCCCTAAACCTGTATGTTGAAAGCACCCATGGCATGTGAGCACGGCATGTGGTAGATGGTCCATTTCTCACATGAACACAACCTGCTGGCTTCATTTATGGCGTGTATATTATTTCCCCGGTGTTGATGGATAGCGGTGCGAACTTCAAAAACACCTCGGTCGTGATCATACTGTAAAAATGAATGCCAATGTGCTCACCTCATGTATTTGTCAAATCTTTTCATCGGTATTGGCATAAATTCAACACCCCTCTCCATCAATTTGCACCTCTATGACTTTCAACAAACCTCTCCGCCATCTATTTGAATGTCATTCGGACCATGGCAGTGACAGGCAACTTCAATAACCCGTTGAAAGACTCCGACACATTTGTAGTCAGGGTTCCCCATCGTCTGCCACCATCCGCATGCAATGTCCACTTGTGAAGCTCATGTCGCATCAAGAAATTATAGGCTCTTTCGTCTAACTGCCGGATCGATTCCATGCGCCTCCTGAATTTGCACTGCTGGTGATCAGTTGCAGCCATCCACATTAAATCATGCAGTCCTTGTTGGAATATTTCTTCTGGAAATTGGCCTTCAGGTGCCTCACACAGTAACGGTGGTATGCATAGGTTCCTGCCATTCAGGCAAATTCTCTACAGAACTTAATATACCACCATGCCGATTAGATATTAGACAAATACTTGAACATTGTTTGACAACGTGCTGCTTCAAGTGGTTCAAAAATAGCGTCCATGTTTCTTGGCTTTCTTTGGCACAGATGGCAAAAGCTAGTGGAAATATTTGTCCATTGGCATCTACTGCAACGGCGATCAACAACTTAATATCATACTTTCCATAGACATGAGTACAGTCTATGGAAATTACCGGAGGGCAATGCACAAAAGCATCAATTGCTGGTTTAAATGCCCAGAACACGTATCTGAATATATATTCAGGTATTCCTGCACTCCGCTCAAGTTTTCATTCAACAACAGTCCCGGGGTTATAGTGTTTCGGTGCGGCCATGTACCTGGGTAGAGATGCAAATGACTTATCCCAGTTACCATAAACAATTTCAAATACACGTTTGCGCCCGAGATATGTCTTTCTTTTGGTAATAGTATACCCATATTCCTGGTGGGCAGATGTAATACATTCTTTGATCTTGTACCTAATGGACAATTCAATGTGTGAAATCAGTTGAAGAGAAATCAAGTCAACGTCCAAGTTGAAGTGATTACCATTGAATGTGTCCATTTCACAATTGTCGGTGCCAATATATTTATCCACTTTCCACAACCTTGTTTCCTTCTTGGTCGCACGCAGCATCCAGTGACAACCCATAAACCATCTACTGCAAACAACCTTGTATACCTCCGGACTTGACTCCCATACTATCATCTCACGACACTCTCTTACGCTGTACATTTTTGCAGCCCTGGTTAGGCGAGCTTTATCGGAAAAAAACATGCCCTTTGCCAGCACCGTTGGTCTAGACTCATCCCACATTGTTGTTCGAATTTCGTCAAGATCCCTTGTGAGGGCATCCACATCCAGCATACTTGGCAAATTATCAAGGTAGGGAATATGCCTTGAATGAAACGGCACGTGGGACTCGTACACTCTTGGTCTAACGGGAGGTGGAGCATGCTCCCTCGTCAGCTCAGGTTTGACATTCTCTTCCTCCTCATCATCACCCTCGTCAGGGAAGGGTGTATCATCTCCAGACTCATTGGCATTGTTTTCATAATTACTATTATCTTCCTGACTCTGCGTATCTGCCAAATCCCGAGTAAATACGTCGTCTACGGGCAACTGAGTGAGGTCAGGACCATCAAGTTGCTCGTTTTCACTGCACAAACATCAATATAATAAGTTACTCAAATTGATAAATACTTTACATATAGCTATATCACTTCTGCCATAACTTTGGGAGACTAGTTTGGTAGGGATAATATTTTGCTTTTGCTTTGTATCATTCTTCTTGATTTCATGTTGTTCTTATATATATATATATATATATATATATATATATATATATATATATATATATATATATATATATATATATATATATTCTTTCATATTATTTCTGTGGTGGTACTAATATTGTCTTCTTTTGTCTTTTTGTCTTCTTGAGTTGAGGGTCTTTCGGAAACAGCATCTCTACTCCTTCGGGGTAGGGTAAGGTCTGCGTACACACTACTCTCCCCAGACCCCACTAGTGGGATTTCACTGGGTTGTTGTTGTTGTTGTTGTATAGCTATATCACTTCACTTACAAGCCGTAATGTGTTGACATTCCATGATGGACATTATCCTGTTGGTGACGACTCCCGGATGGACCACCGTGATCCAACACACCAAAACTACGCATATTCCAACTGGGCGTGGGTTCATAACTTGTAAAATTCATATCTGGACGGTACCCCTTGTGGAATTTATAAGTGTTAATACAAATTCAATACAACAAAAATAAACATCGTACCACAAAGGGAAATTGAAGTTTACCAGTCACCTTGTGGATTATGTAAAGTAGGAGAGAAATTATTTCCTCGCTCCTCGTTCGCTCGTGGAGATAAGTTTAGATCCGGCCAAACTCTTTCAGCCGGAACCTGTTGGGCTAAAACTGCTCCAGAATAACCACCCAATGATTGAGGGTTATCCCTGCTTTGCGCAACATCATTATTGCGAACGTCTTCAACATTTACGTACATTTCCAACATTTTTATCAAAATGAGTTCCCGGTATTCATCCGGAGTCCCCAAAAAATCTCTCAGAGTTTCATCATCATCGATGTTAAACTCAGCGTAACAAGCAACCCCTTGCGGAGTCACAGAATACGGATATCTTCCGATTATTTTAAGATTCACCGAACGTTTGCTCAACCTCATTTTATTGCATAACAATGATACCAGTCTATCGTACTCCATTGTAAGTGGCAACTTAACATAACACTGTGGAGATAAACTATAGCTCACTGAGTTATTACCACAACCTCACCACCCCCCCCCCCCCCCAATATAATGACTCTTACTTTTCGCTCTTCAGACATTATGAAAAAAGCTTGAGAATTTAACAAAAAAAAAAAAAAATTCACGAAGTTGGAGTATTTCTGAATGATTTTTCTCAAAACCCTTAACACTTTAAATAAGGCAATGCCCAATCCAGGGAGGGGGTCAAATTTTTGGAAGTAAAACACAGTTTAAAAGGGCATTTTACATATTTGAATTATTGTTATGTCAGTTAAGCGTAGAAGAGTTATTAATGGGCCCACAAAACATGTTAAACGCGGTATTAAAAGGCGTTTATGTAAAACGCAATATTAAACCACGTTTTACAAACGTGGTTCATAACTGCGTTTTACATATTTTGGTCGCTAAGTTTTTTTTCCACCTATTTAAGTATTTTGAGTCCAAAAAGACAACATTTCGATTCCGGATTCCGCAAATACCTACCATTCAAATTCCATAACACATGCAAGCTTCATTTTACTTTTCTTACAAGTCTGTCAATTTCATCGTAGAAATCCTCATTCCAATATTCCCACGTTTTCCCATCAAATAAACTTGTGAAACCAAAGCTTAAAGATAAACTATATTTCACCAAAAGTAATTTACGAAAGCAGACAGTTAATTTGATGTAATGTGAGAGTAACCAACTTCATAGCAACTTGTTTTGATAAGAAGTTCCTTTTACCACTCATTCTGATGCTAATAAAGTTATTGTACAATATGAACACCACATACCAAAATCTGATAGCCCAGCTAGAGCATCATTCTCAATGAAATGGTATACCAATTCCCACTAAACTTACAAAAAATGATCCTAAACTGCATGAATGAGCAAATTGGCCATTGGGATCAGCAGGTACAGCCAGAATACTGGTGCAGCAAATTTAAACCGCTTAAGTTCTCCAAAGTGTCTGTCTTGCTACCATATAAATCTCTGTACACCAGTCTCATGGACCCAAGAAAACGGCCGGAACAAGAACATATACATAGTGAAAATATTAATGGCAACATACTGAACTCCCATCAAAAGCCAACTTCTGTCATCATCAACATGAGAATGGAGGATCAAGAAAAAGAACGGAATTGTATAATATCTGAACTCTATAAGTGGAGCAGGAATCAATGTCGCAGAGGTAGCCAAAAAATATACTAGTACCCATGTCTTCCTCTGACTTTTAGCTGCAAATGGAGGAAAAAGGGAATATGCTTAGGAGAAACCACAGCTACATACACAATTTTCTTTTCTTTGAACATCTATTGCACAAACGTGAAGTAACCCCCCAGGAGGAGGGATGTATAGTTGAAACAACATATGCAACTTAAAATAGGACTGAATATTTTACTGACCCAAGATTCTGAAGATGGATATCCATGAATACACATAGAGTGGAACCAGAAGGTACTTCATTGTCCAATGAAATTTGATTACTTTTCTCCAGAGATAAAAGGGATAGTGTCGATTGTCAGCAACGAGATAAGGGTGGGCAATGCTGCAATCATCAAAATATTATGTCAAAAACGCACACTACCATTTCCTGGTCACCAATTAATAGATATCAAATCAGAATCAGCCAAAAACAAAAACGCACACACCCAAAATCTCTAAGAAATGAACTCCAATAAATCTTTGCTTGCAATAAAGAAGAAAGACGTAAGAAAAAAACACTTTAAGAAATGATGTATAATTTGGATTGCAGAAGTAGAAAGTGATGAATGGCTCAAAAAAATAAAAAAATAAAAAAAAGAGAGAAAAAGAAAAGGAAGACAAGGATAGTTGAACTGAACTTGGAAAACTAACAAAGTTTATCAATCTTCTAACCTGAAAAAGTGCACTGAGAAGAACCCAACGATTAACGCCGTACACAACTGAAAGAAACTGACCAGCTTATTTTTCTTCCAGAAGGACTGAGCCAACACTGCAGCTTGCCTAATTGTGAAGTGCACGGGAGTCATAAACAGGGCAGATACCAAGCTAAAATACATCAATTGTGCAAAATGTGGAGAAACTGTATGAGCCTCTTTTGCACCTGGAATGTAATGAACGCGCGTGCACACACGATTAACAAAGGAAGAGACACCATAATGAAACAAAGAAATGAAAGTTCAGAGAGAGAGAGAGAGAGAGTTGGTACCAAGAACTATACTCCCGTTCAAACAAACAAAGGTAATGAAAGCGACCATAACTATGAAGTAAGGCCAAAAAGTTGCAAAAAGCTCCCACTTAAGTTGCCACAGTCTTGAGATAATTTCACGCACCTCATGGGAGAACTCTGAAAAGGAATATAATCTCATGTACAATAATGTAACATAAACAATACTGGAAACTTGCATATACAAAAAGAACCACAATCACATTGCCAACTAACATGCAAGGAAGGATAACTATGCATGAGCCCACAGGAGTGTACGTGTTTGTACCATGCCATCTGACAAGAAAAGCTTACATGTTCGTACCATGCTTAAACACAATGGACAACTTTGTTGCCAATGTGTTCGTGAACATGCTAGGCACTCTGGTTACATTTGAAGGTTGCCTCAAACATGTGAAGCAAGTTTTCCACATGACACTTCTTGTAAGAATGTTTGCAGCAAGGAACGTTCTTTCGAATTATCTAATTTTGTATTTGATCCCTCCTAATAGATCCTCTCAAGTCAAAGGAAGTTTGGCTACTAAACCTGACATACTAACAAAGCATTTTTGATAGAGAACATGAAATTGCAAAAGTGAGAAGGATGAAAAACATGCCCAAGAAAAAAAAAAAGATATTTACTCTGAAAATATGAAGAATAAAATAAAAACACTTACCAGAACATGTAATACTCACATTGCTCACGTATTAGCAATACATTAGGTTTGTAAGAATTTATTGAGGGATCTCAAAAGCCTGAAATCCATTTATTGAGGATTAAGTGTGTTTTGTCAAGAACCACAAAGACCACATGCAGATGTTGCTGGGATCAAAATCTCAAGTTTCTCTTGTTAAGTAGAACTATTACCTAACAAACAAAGAGAAGTATATTACTAAGGAAAGCACTTATAACTATTTCAAGTAATAAAAGTTCTTTTTCCTCCCCCACTCACTTCCCTACTGTGGAGTTGAGGTGCTCTAACAGTTAAAAAGAAGCTATTGACAAAAGCACAACCAAAAGTATCTCTATGTAGGACACAAGTTTCCCCTTTTATCTTCCATGGTTACCAGTTTTTTTTTCCAAAACAGATGAATTAAATTCACCATGCAAGTTCACAAGTAAATCGTTTGGATATTTCACCTCATAAGAAAGACTTGACAGCTTGTACAATCGAACTTGATGTATTCCACAACGGCGTTTGATTGTAATTATTTGACCCAATGTACTTTAGATAACCGAACAGAAATTACTTGTCAAAAAGAAGATAATTGGATAGATACAAAAATCAACAGATGCTATTATGTGTCCTAACACCACATAAATGCAGATGAAAAAACTCAAAACAAGATGAGATGAAGAACCTGAGGAAGGCTTTGTGGAACCAACCGTTTGGTGGACAGAAGAGCTGAATGTAGCTGCCTGATTACTGATTTTGCGCTTTCTCAAGTTAGAGCCTGTTCCGACACCTTGGTTCCAAACTGAGAAAGCATCTTTACCTTGTGATGGACTAGATTCAGCCAATACAGCATTATCCTTCCGCTGAGTTAGAATATAGTCTAAAACCCCTGTGCATGCTATAAAAAGGACCCATATGATATTTGTTTGCCGTATCAGCACCGCCAGAGCCCCAACCTTCAGATATACGAACACAGGGTTAACTTTTCAATTAGAAAGAAAAAAAAACATGGTCAAATTCAATTTTTGATCATCAAATGGAACTATCAAAAGCGGACTAAAAAAGATCTACTTCAGGAAAGTAGTCAGGCTTGAGAGGAAGAAAAATTGTTATGAAGTTAGAATTTTGTTATTGTTTTTTACTTTGTCTCTTTATTTTTTCTTGGGGGGGGGGGGGGTGGGGGGGTAGGGGGGGGGGTATAGAATATTGTTATTATTTTGATACAGCTCAAATGGAGGGAAAACATTATACAACTCCGAAGCACACTCTAGGCTAACGTGCGGATTCCAGTAATCAGCAACTAGTCAGATGTTAAAATCATAAATATCCTTGGAACATGTTTTTGGTGCATGAATAACTAAAGTGCATATAAATTATTGGAGAAAAATTCTTTAAAATGTATTGATTGATATTAATCACAAAAGTCATACAGAAGAATACAATCCCATATGAGGAGTAAGCTATAAAGAGTTTGAATAAAAGTCAATTTATAACTTTGCTCCCTTTTATTATCGACTAGAAAGAACTAAATGGGATTGAGTTGATCCTCTTACCAGGGAACTCAAGAAATAATTCTTCTTGAGACTCATAAGATATGATGCCAGTACAGCAGTTAGTGATGCTACATCTGTATAATAAAGAAAACTGAAGAACCAGTGAAGGGGATACAACGCTAGGACAACTGTCCGAAGAGTTACTTTTCTGTCACTAAGGGAAGGCCTGAGGTGGGTAAGTATGTTGTAAACCAGAATGCTGCAAAATACAGCCAATACACCATTGCTGGAGCGTAGGATGGAAGAGGAACAAGCATCTGAAAATGAAGCACCTATTTTCATAGAGAACAGCCCTGGAAACAAAGAAGCAACATGGGCAAGTGAAACAATATACCTGCAAAAATTTTAAATTATCTCATCAAATTCCCTTATCAGTTAGATCTAAAGTGCTTTTTCAACTGAATCATCTTGAAGAACATTTCTTTTCATATCTAGGGATCAAGGTCATGGCACATGTTATGTGATACTAGCTCCGTCCTTTTATTTCCTGTTCTGTTGTTTATATCCTTTTTCTGTTATCTGTATTCCTTTTTTCTCTTTGACAAACAACAGAGACAAATCTGAGAGAATTCTTTGTATCATTTGATGATGCCTCTATAGCATTTAGCTCAAATCTAGTCACTGTCAAATCTAGTCTCTTGTAGAAAAGCAAGGTAAGGCTGCGTACAATAGACTGGTGGTCCAGACCTTCCCCGGACCCCGCGCATAGCGGGAGCTTTGTGCATAGGGCTGCCCTAGTCACTATCAACGAACCTCATTGCACCAAAGATCTATAGGTCACAGGTTCGAGCCGTGGAATCAACCTCAAACTTCTAATCCCAACCCCAACTTCACGACCTCAATCCGCCAAAATAAACCTATTTTACATGGCCATTAACATAAAATTGAGTGCCTGAGAGAAAGATAGTACATAGTACAGAGAGAACTAAGTGCCATAAACTTTAGTAATTGCTTTTTCAGTTATCTTGTTCGATCTTATGTTACTCCCTCCGGCCTAATTTATGCGACACTTTTTCCTTTTTAATCTGTCCCCAAAAATGCACCTCTTTTTGGGAACAATTTAATCTTAGAATCCCCATTTTACCCTTAATGATGCGATTTTATAATTAGTCGCAAAAATGTCATGGCATGTCTAAAATCACAAGTTTCAAAGCCACTATTTATTTCTTAAACAGTAAACCTGCGCCCAATTAAACACCTTCACGTAACATGAGATGGGAGGAGTATATATTTTGAATGCTTGCACATGAAGCAACTTTTAGATTCTTGCACCTAATATTACTGAATTTGTATATTAGAAAATATACATGAAGTAGCCTATTAGCAAATAATTTGGAGTTCTCTAACACTACAGGTCCTTTACATTTTCTACTTCAAATCTTTAAACAAATTGAAAGTACTCATAGCAACCACTAGATTTAATGTCAATGTACCAACATTATAAGCCCTAATCTCAACTAATTAGTATCACCAATATGTGTCCTTTAATTCCATTGTGATGTTTTACGCTGAGGTCTGCATGCTAAAAACAGAAGACAATAGTAGTATACTAGTATGTGCATAAATTTCGTTTTGCAATATCAAAAAATTGTAACAAAAAATGCTTGACGTTTCAGTTATCACTGAATTAGTGCAATATGTTACCTCCATATTAACTCTTTGCATAGACTCTTCCTTTAACACACTATTTCAAGATAATTGGTGGAGAAAGAATGTAAGACTGGTATCAACAACTCCTAAACGAAGAAACCCACTTGCTAAATTAAGATCATCAACTAGGTGAAGCTATACTCATATATAAGGAACCCAGTAGCTTGTCTAGACCCTGTATATATATAAGGAAATCCACTAAATATCTATAAATATTATTAATGTAGTATTAACTTGAGGTCGTTATAGAAACCCATAAACTTTAAATTCAGAATCTGTGGCATAATTTAACACCCAAAAGAATCAAAAAACTAAATGAGGAGAAACTCCCTGCTAGTAATCATTTAAACATACTCCTAACTCTTCATAAATTTATTCTTCCTACAAATGGCAAAATTGACTCACGAGGCTAATGCAGGGATGGATCCACCTTGCGACATACGGGTTCACGTGAACCCAGTAATTTTGTCCAAACAATATATATGTGGTCGAAAAATTCACTAAATAGCTATAAATATTTTAATATGAACCCAGTTACTATTGAAAATTTACTTGAGGTCGTTGCAGGAACCCATAAACATCAGTTGCCACATATCTGCCTCTAGACTAATGCTGTCACATTTCAGTTGCCACATATCACTAGCCACATATATTGTAGGTTGCAAGTAATGAGAAAAAACGAGGTAATACTCACAGGCCAGGAGGGGTAGTGATCATGGGATCCCAGATTCTGAAATTGCCTTTGCAGTACTGATGCGCTTGAGGTATATGAAATATTTCGTCCTGAAAAAGCACCCATTATCCACTTCACACCACTATAAATTTCTCAAAACCAATCAATATACATTCATAAAGAAGAAAATTTGATTAAATAGAAAAAAAAAAAACAGAAGGAATACCATGTAAGGATCAGGCACAATGCAATTGACGAGGATTGATATAGCTACTACCCATGAACTTACAATCGCCACAACCGCAATTTTACCCATTTTGCTCCAACTCCGGTTAATGGGTCTTCGCCGATACAGAAATTAGGAATTCCTGATGCTGCTGCAGGCAGCTTCAAACGATGACGTTTCAAGTTTTCTCTAACATTTCTCTCCTTTGGGTCTCCAAGTTTCAACTGAGTGTGAAATCAACCCTTATATTTGGCATAATGGTAAAACCATCTTTTATAGTTTTTGGTTATGGAAGATGTTTTTTTTTTTTTTTTGAGCAAACAGGAAATATATATATTAAAAGTTAAGGAACATGCCTTACATGCGATTCGTAGTTAGTGTCACATAAGACACTTTGATTACCTAAGCTTGCTAAAGTATTACAAGCATCATAGGATAAAAGTTTTTCAAAAACATATTGTTCTAGCACACATGTTCTACCAGGATTTTAACATCTGCTGGAGGATCAACAAAAATTCTCTTTTTCTTCCTGGCATTAGCAATTCCCATCTGTGCCAGCTGGTGAGCTATCTTATTCCCTTGCCGGAACTCGTGCTGGAGGATGACCTGCTTCTGTTGGTGCATTAACAACCTGCATTTATTGATAGTGTTAGCATACAGATTATTACCTTGTTGGATTGACAGGATTACCTCCATGGAATCTGTTTTAATTTGTAGTGGAAACAACCCCCAATCAAGGGCTGTTTTTAGTCCTTCTAGTAGGGCTTTGATCTCAGCTTGTAGACAACCGTTTGCATGTGCAGACTTGTTATAGCCCACAATCCAGTGGCCCTTAGCATTCCTGATTATGCAGCCTAGGCCACAAATTTGCATGTTTTTGTGGAAACTAGCATCAATGTTTAATTTAAACCATCCCATTGGAGGTTTTTGCCATCTAACCTTGATATGGAGCTTTGGAGACAGAAGCATACTTTTTTCAGTTAAGAGGCGAAATTCAATAGCTCTATCCACGATGTGATTAATTTTTATAGGGAAATAAGTATTGTTCTGGTTGCTGCTATTCCTATTAATCCAAATATGCCAGATAGCAAAAGGAAGAAGAGATTCCAATTTAAAAATTTTTTGTTGAGGGGGTAGTTAAAATTCTTTAATTGGATTAACCAGTGATCACCATCGTCCTTATAAAAATTTTGCCATCCAAGGGTGTCCCAAAGATGTTTGCTTGCTTGGCACTTAAAGAAGATATGTGTTATGGATTCATCTATATGATTTCTACATATAGGGCAGTGAGAGTCCATATTAAGACCAATTTTTGTCAGATATTGTCTACAAGGAATTCTATTGTGAAGACATTGCCAAAGGAAGAATTTGATTTTATTAGGGCACGTCAATTCCCAGATCCAATTAAAGTCAATTTTCCTGCCCTCATTAGTGTTAATTAAAGAATAGCAGGTTTTGCTTGTAAAGAAGCCTTTTGTATGTAGGGACCAAATAGGGATATCGCCATTAGGACTTTTAACAAGGATATTAACCTTTGATATGGAGTCCTTGATATCTTTGGGTAGATTGAGGGATATATTGGCAAAGTGCCAATTGTTGCCATCAAAGATGTCTCTTATTTTTAAAGAGTAGTCATGCTTTAATAAAGGGCCTTCAATAGTATTTCTAAGGCTTCTCAAGTTAGGGATCCAATTGGTCTCCAAAATATTCATGTTTGATTTGTGATGAAGTTGCCAAATGATACCTTTGGAACATAGTTCCCACCCCTTTTGAATACTTTTCCATATAAAAAAAGTACTTCTAGTGTTATGATTGTTGGCATAGGCAGTAATAATAAGATGAGCCCAAGGGGTGGTAGGTTTCGTAATGGCTCTCCAGGCTAGGCTAGCAAGGTTACAAATATTTTTATCCTTGGCTTTATGGAGTCCTAGTCCTCCAATGCTTTTTGGTTGGCAAATGGTGGACCATTTAATGAGGTGAATTTTTCGCTTCTAATTTGTAGTACCCCATATGAAATCCCTTTGAACTTTGTCAATTTTATTAAGAATGTTCTTAGGGAGGAGAGTAAATGTCATGTAGTGGTTAGGAATTGAGTTTAGACAGGAAAGAGAGAGAGTTGTCCGACCTGCTATATTTAAGAATTTCATTTTCCAAGCCGTTAATTTGGCTCTCATTTTGTCAATAATGAATTGATAATCTTTTGGTCTAGGGTGTTTGCTTAGGATAGGAAAGCCTAGATAAGTACCAAAGGAATCACTTTTTTTAATACTCAGAATATTGGTAATTTCATTAGTAAGAATTTGAGAACAATTTGTGGAGAAGATAATTTTTGACTTTGAGGTGTTAATACATTGCCCTGAGAGATTACAAAAGAGGTCTAAGCCTTTTTGAATTGTATCGCTTGATTTCATATTGGCCCTAGCCATTAATGTGAGATCGTCAGCAAAGAAAAAGTGAGAGAATTTGGGTCCTTTTTTTCCTATGGTAATTGGATTCCAATTCCTAACGTCAACTTGATGGTTTATATATCGTGACAATATTTCTAGGCAGAGGATGAAGACATATGGTGATATAGGATCACCTTGCCTGATTCCCCGGCTAGGTTTAAAAAAGGTAGTAATAGAGTCATTCACTTGAACAGCTATAGAAGTGGTTGAGATGCAATTTAAGAGAAGTTTCTTAAATTTTGGAGGGAAATTGAAGTAAGTTAATTTGTGATGCACAAAAGACCACTCTAATCGATCAAAAGCTTTTTCAAGGTCAATTTTTAGGAGCATATGACCTTGTTTCCCTTTTAATTTATGGATTTTTGAAAGAAGTTCCTATATGATAATAGCATTATCCGAAGCCCTTCTATTTTTTATAAAGCTAGCTTGGCAAGGGCTAATTAGTTGATCAAGGAAAGGTTTAAGGCGATTTGCAAGAATTTTTGTGATTACTTTATATATAGTGTTGCAAAGGCCAATAGGTCTAAAATTTTTGATGTTATTGGCATTGAGTATTTTTGGAATTAGGCATAGGTAAGTTTTGTTAAGTTCAGGGGGGATCTCTTGAGTTCTAAAAATGTCATGGCACAAGTTTGTTACAGAGGGTCCTATTATATCCCAATACCTTTGAAAAAAGAATGGGTGAAGGCCATCTGGTCCAGGCGCTTTGAAAGGTTTAAAGGAGAAAATGGCCTTTTTGATCTCAATACTAAGTAAGGGATTATCTAGACCATTGAGGTTTAAGGAGTTTTGAGAGTTATTTTTTAGAGGGCTAACCCTACTAGAATTTTTGTGAGTAGTGGTAAAAATAGTAGTGAAATAGTTACAAACATGAGAGGTAACTAGATGAGGATCGTTAATCTAATTTCCTGCTTCATCTTTAAAGAAATTGATCTTATTTCTTCTTTTTCTATTGGAGGCCGAAATGTGGAAAAATTTGGTATTTGCATCTCCTTAGTTTAGCCACATAACCCTTGACCTTAATTTCCAATAGTCCTCATCTATTTTTAGAAGATCATTGCAGTCTTTTTTTAGGTTGATTTCTAGGGTTTGGAGGAAAATATTATAAGGGTAATGTTTGAAATTTTGAATACCTTGAAGCCGGGCTAGGATTTTCCTTTTTTTCCCCACTATATCCCCAAAAGTGTGATGCTTCCAAACCTTGACTTTTTCTATGAACATATTGCTAGCCCTATTATAGTCATTGTTTGTCCAATTATCTTGGACTAGGGTCTTGAAACCAGGATGTTTACACCAGTAGATCTCAAGTCGAAAAGGAGGCTTGTATTGAAAATTATTCTAAGGGATTAATTCTACTAAAATAGGGTTGTGATCCGAATGAGTCATAGGAAGGTGTATAATAGAACTCTTAGGAAATAGATTAATCCATTCCTCATTTCCTAACACTTTATCCAACCTTTCCATAATCAAACCCTTATTCTTATGCCTATGGTTCGACCAAGTATATTTACACCCTTTATACCCTAAATCAATTAAGTTACAATTTTTAACCTTGGACCATAGATATTTTGCCCTACTGTCCTTTATACAATTGCCACCAAATTTTTCGTTTGAGCAGAAAACATCATTGAAATCTCCCCCTAATAACCAAGGTCCATTGTAATTTTTGCTAATGCTCTCAAGATTATCCCACATCTTATTCCTATTCAGCATGTTTGTACTAGCATAAATAGCACTAAAAAGCCAGTACCTCAATCGTAGCATAAATTTCTTGATCCCTTCGAACAAAGTTTTGAATGGTGACAACTTCATGGTTGTACAAGACCACTATCCCACCTGCCTGGCCTTCAGCTGGCACTTCTATGAACTCAGTAAAGCCAAAATCATCCAGCAGCTCCATGTGATTCCCCATCCTGGTTTCTAACAAAGCCACCATGCAGGGTCTATGGGTATCTACCATTTCCCTGAAGTTCCTCCTAAAGTTGTCATTGTTCCCTCCCCTTATGTTCCAAATGATAATATTAGTAGGTCGATTCATGGAGATATTAAGGTTTGAGTTGGCCGGATTCCCATTCTCCCTCACTTCCCCTAGGGCTGGGTTCCTCCTCAATGATGGAACTAGGATCATGGCTCTGTTGCCCACAGTTGGATCCTGTGGAGGTCTTATGTCCATCGAGCATTTGTATAGTGCTAATGGGCAATTAAGAACGTGCCTCTTCTCTTGCCTCTCCGTAAGGAGAAACACTTTTACTCCGTCGAGACTTGAGATTTCTAGGACTCTTTCTAAGAGTAGGTTTATGGGTTCCTCCTCCTCTTCCATTTCTGCCTTTACTGGATCTGGTGCATGAACTTGATTGTGGGGTAGAGAGGTAGGTTGTTGATGAGGTTGTGGTACTTGTGGCTCTTGGACTGGTTGAGGTTGTTCCCATGGAAGGAATATGGGATTCAGTTGAGATAAATTCTCTGGCATGAAGAAAGGCATGTCCAGGAGTGCATTTTGTGGGTAGATCGGATTGAAGTTTGGAGGAAGGTTCCACTGGTTTCTCATTGCATGAACCAGTTGGGGATTCACTAATGGTGCTAAGGGTTGAAAGATGTTGTTGAGCCATGCCATGGTAGTTGTTCATAGCCAACCTCATACCTTCTGTCACTAACTGGGCTAAGTACTGAGTGTCGTGAAGGATGATGATCGAGTCCTGGCCATTTATCTGGACGTTGAACGAGCATGCATGGCCCATTAGGCCCATCTCCATCCATGACACAGGTTGATAATTTTGAGCTTGTGGTGGTTGAACATAAATTATTTGAGGATTTGCTGGTTGAGGGTGTAAAGGTGGAAGGTTTTCCATGGTAATTCTGTGTTGGCGAAGTATTTGGAGAAGTCTTTGTCTCCTCCTTAGAGATTATGGTATGCTGGGCATTGTGACCGGTGTTCTGTGAACTTAAGGACTCTAACTTAGGCGTGGGGGAGGGGCTATTGGGTATATGAGAGGGATTGGTTGATAGGGTAATGATTGGGGAGTCTTTTTGCATGTCGTTTGAGTCCCCAAGAGTGAATTTTATAGGTTGATTTCCCATATCCTTTGCGTGCTTTAGGTTGACAGACATTTGGTTTGTTTTTCCTTTTTCTTTTGCCATTTGGCTAGCATGCTTAGGTCGTGAGAGATAATCAGATCCTGGGGAAGGATCTTGCTTGAGGTTTTGGGTAATAGTAGGATTATTACCAATTTGCTTATTAGATAGGTTAGTATTGGCAGTATCCTTGTGATTTTTAATAGGGGCATTAAAGTTATTTTGGTAGTAATCTTGCATGGCCACCTTATCAAAGTGATTAGTAGGATTAGTAAGAGAAGACACGTTCATGTCCAGCATGTCAATATCTTTGTTTGTTTGTGACATTTGTTCAATTGCATAACAATCATTAGA